AGAAATGACAATTGTAGTAATAGCTTACTAATGCGAGTTTATGAGTTTTCGTCTACTCGTACTTTTTATGGGTTTAAATATACTTAACGAGTTGATCTTTCATTCAAATTCCATAGATTTGTATAATATAAGTTTTCATAGATTTAATATAAGTATCATTCGTTTTAAAATTCACTAACTCGTACAGGTATACGCATAACACTGAGTTAACGACTATTTGTATTATTTTTTTCCGTGATTAAATTGCCCGTACGTGTTTTAATGCCAGAGTAGAATTGGCTAAATAAAATTATGGTGAACATTTTTTGCACATAAATCGTTTGCAAAATCATTAACCAATTTTTAAAAATTAAGTCAATTCTTTTTTTTTTTAATTATTTCAATAGGTACTAATATTTGATTTCGAAATCGTTTAGTTTTAACCTTTATTAATCGTTTAAAAAAAAAATCAACTACTATTAATTAATTATATTATGCAATACCGAGCATTAAGATTTTTTTAACGATTACCAAAATATGTAAATTTTGAATTAATTACGTATTATTTATTATTAGTTATTACGCACCTATATTATAATCGGACGAAAAGATTATTAAAATTAAAATTACGGATCGTTACACTTTCACAATTTATTTGACTAAAATGTTATTATTATTTTTTTTTATACATAACTTTCGTTTTAACTCAGGCAAAGAATAAAACGTGAATAGTAACAATTGTAACGATTAGCTAAATATATATTAATATATAGTATACATATTTTATGGGAATTAAGCAAATTTATTTACGCGAAATATAACGATTGTTATTTGAACTGCACATGTATAGTGGTATATATTTAATGTGTATAAATTGTATAATATTTAAAGTGAAAAAATTGACTACACTTTTTTGCACCAATGAACGAGAATGTAAATCTCAGTGCACCTTAGATCAGATTTTTTGTAGTAAGTATTGGATGTTGACAAATTAGATATCTATGATATCCAATATAATCGCTTTGTGTATATAGTTTTAAAAGTTGTGATTAAGATTATTTACTTTATTACTAATTTTAATACCTATAGTGTTTTTGCCTTTTCATTTTACGAGTATTTGTGTCATGATAATAAATTTCTTCTTATTATTATTTTTTATTTATTTATGGTAAATTAATTCGTTTTAGCAATCATAATTCGCAAGGTCATTTGTTATTTCATATTTGTGATTATTTTTAGTAATGAAAGGAATGTGAAAGACAATTTTTATAAATATTATATTCAAGAGTTTGTACTGTTTCGGTTGAGTGTATGCATACAAATCATATTCATTTATGTTATATAGTATAATTTAGTATACAACTTGTATTTTGAGGAAGGAATTTTAATTTTAATTTTTTGTAATCGTTAATCAGGTAGCTCATAGAAACATGGAATCTTGAGAACTTTGCCAGTGATACTTGATGAAATACAATGAAACAATGAACATGCCGAGTGAGAACGCCAGACCCGTCCTTTAATGAAATATACAATAACCCGTAGCCGTTAGCAAGTCAATAACTAAATGTTGACATTCAATAAACGTTTTTTTAAAAGTTAAAAAATAAAAAATAAAAAGGTAAGCATAAAATCAATTTTAGCCACCTAAATAGAGAGTAAAAGTTATAGAAATCAACTTGTGAATACTTGTTTTTTAGAGTGTTGCCTTCTCTCACTGACAACGTCGTGGACAACATTATATGCATATATTATATAATAGTTAAACAAATTGTATATTATCGCTCTCGATAACGACGTTTACGATTCGAATCGAAAAACAAACGCTTAATTTATATCGTATAAAAACCTGTGTCTGTTTGTCTTTTTTTCTGCGGCCATTGAAATAATAACAACAACATTAACTTTGATGCCCGTGTCAGCACTAATAAGTGATAATGACGCGTGAACAATGAATTCGTATAGGTACATATTGGCGATTGTATATTCATGTGATTTATTGACTATGGTCCAAGGTCAGGACATCTAATACATGTCGATTTGAGTGTTTTTTTTTTTATATTTTTCATTCAAGGTTACGTTTTATCACCAAAATTAGGCTAAATATGACATTTAAATAACTATCTCACCTAATTACAACTTGGATTATATTTCCATAAACTCTTCATATGTCTACAAACATTAGCTACATTCACGCCGATTTCACGATTGCAATTATTATTTTACTACCGTCAGTTATAATAATTGGCCAACAACTATTATAACTAGTAATATTCTATGTTTACGAGCCTATTACTGCCTATTGATTATAATTTATGTTAAACAACTTTAGTGAATAAAAGAAACCAACTGTTATGTTATAATATAATGTAACATGTTAGCGTTTGTGTGCTCAGTTTTTTTTTTTTGTGATGTATAGAATGTAATACCTATTGGCGAGCGGTCGAGTGCAATTGAACATCTCGAGAACTTGTTGACCGGAAAAAATGTGTGTTCGGACGACGGTGAATCGATATGAAAATTTGAAAATAAAAAGGGGTTAGTCGGTGTATATAGTATTTATAATAGTTTAATTGTATCGTATACCGAGTAGCGAATGTTGAATTAACGGACAATCGCACTCGACAGTCATCGTTGAACGAAGCGGACTTGAGCAACGGCCAACGAGCGCCATTGCGAACAATGCCACCGTAACATTCAGAAGAAAAATCATGTCCGTAATCTGTATAATGTCTATATTATTATTGTGTACCTCATACGCTTATGCGCATTTTTATGAACATTCGGTGCATTTAAACGAGCACGGAAAACAAGTAAAAGTCACTCGCGACCCTTTTTTGCAGCACATAGTGGCTTTTTATCGGGCCACAATTGAATTGATTTTCATATTGCAAAAGCGAAGAGTTTTTGTACAAACACTTGAAGTCGAAACTATAATGTAATATAATAATAATAATAATAATATACGTATACTTTAACGTTACATTATTATTATTATACAGCACCACGCATTGTCGTTTTCAAATTCGATCCGTCGAAACAACGGACGAACCAATTTCGCCATTTATTGAGTACACATTTGTTATGAGGTACGCACTTTAACATATCGTGCACCCTCAATCAGTCGTTTTTGTTTTGTTTTTTCCGGTGAGCGCACCCTCCAAATTAGCTCCGAAAATACGACGGACGTCCGAAATATCTAAAACAATATAAATTATCACAATAGTATTAATATAAGGGCAAATTTCTTAATAAAAAAAGCACAATGCGCAAAAAAAAATGTTGAACCAATTATAATAAGAGCATAAATATTGAGAGCAGAAATATAAGAAAAAATTACATAAAATAAAAAAGATTACAAATAATATGAACGAGATATGTCAAAGTTAAATGGTGAAATATGGTGGATCAGAATAGCATTAGCGACTGGCGTCAGACATGATTATTGTCAAAGTGATATGTTTAGTGACACGATAAGAATATGTATAAAACGTCTTAAACGACCGGGATATGCGACAGCCGACAAGGTTTGATGAATCGATAACACGGTGTTCTTCGAGAGACGTATGCAGCGTTCTTCTGCAGCGGTTGCATACGGATTGTGTTCCCGATATAAAAATTGCAATTTGTGACATTCAAATTGCGTCCCAGGTTTTCTATACTACTATACTAATTACGTCTCGATAATATTTAATAACTACGAAGTTCAATTGGAAGGACGAAAAATAGTTGTAAAGCTTTCTATTTAAAATTTAATGGTGTGTTTTATTCTGCTCATTTAAATATCTACAGTTTTATTGATATACTTGAAAACGTACAACAAGATATTTACATAAAAATTCAAATAAAGAAAATAAGACGTGAAATATTATGTGAAAAACAAAAATTGTTAAGAAAATAAATGATTAAATAATGTGAAGTGAACGAAATAACACGATTTTTTCAAAACTGTATCGTTCACGTTGTTATCGAACCATTATTAATATTATATTTATATAATATAACTATTAAATGGGAAGGAAAATAATGTATTTACATCGGACGCAATTAGTATAGTCGTTAAATATTATTGGGACGCAATTAGTGTAGTTGTTAAATATTATCGGGACGCAATACGTTTACACCGTCTGCAGCACGTCTACGTTCGATCAAAGGAGCATGGTTCAGCAATGTAATGACAAGCAGGAGTATAAGAGGGTACGATGTATACGACGGAGAGGAAATGAACATGAAAAACGTCCACTAAAAACTCGACCGCACTGTCTAAAATAAATGATAAAATGCGCCAGTTGCACCTAAAACGGCATTTCAGTAACGCTAGCCTTTATCGTTCACCGGAACAACGGTTTTACGTATATTCCTGTAAAAATCTGAGCGCCATCGGTGAGTTTCCGACATAATAATATTATGTGCACAATATAACAGGCGTACCATTATTATTACTATTATTATTATTAATATTATACTATGGCGACGGTTTCACTTTCTATAGAAACGTTTGCCCTCGTGCCGTCGTCGTTCAACATTGTATTATAATAATAATAATAATGTAATAATACGGCCAATAATAATAATTATTATTATTATTATTATTATTATCCGAACGGCCGGTTGCAGTGTTGTCAAGTCGTACACACACACACACACGCACACACACAGCTACCGGTGGGAGCCCCGCGACGGATACTCATCGGATGCGGTAAGAGGTATAACGCTGCGATTTCGGTCTTTGTATTTATTTTTTTTTTTTCTCAAACTCGACTTTCACTCGTTCCACCCGTATAGTCGCCAGTCGGTACTTCCTCGGGTGACGGTGTGGGGGCGTTCACGGGAGGGGGAAGTCGCAAACTCGGCGGCACGCGATAACAACGTAATAATAATAAAAATGATAATAATAATAATAATATGTAGGCCAAACGCCGGGCCGGATGGGTGTGAGGTGGCGGTGCGGCAGTGGAGGGGATCCGAAGGACGCCGGTCGCCGGTCGTGCCGCCGCCGCAGCCGCCGACAACGTTCGCGAGCGCAATATCCGATGCACACCGGCTCGCCACAGTCTCGTCAGCGTCTAAACAACGATTATATTATCGTTTCGTTACACGGCGGTCCGATTTCGGTTTCTTCTCGCTTTCGATTTCACTCCGGTTTCCTCCCAGAGGTCCGTCGCCGTGTATTATACAACAGCGCAACTGTTCTCCTGCGAAGGACCACTGCTACGCCACACATTCTTTCGTTCAGCCGTCCGGGCGATCCTTGTCACTGCCGAGGTGCGCCATGCGCTCGGATCACACCGCCTGCCAAAAACGCCGACGCTGATTGACCGTTGTCGCACGCAAATAACGCGCACCGTAACAGAGGCTGCTTAGGGCGCCATGGACTCGGGATTGGCCCGATTCGCCGTACTCATAGTGTTGTTCTTCCTGTTGACCGGCGACCTGGCCGGCATGGTCAAGCACATGTTCGAGGAAGCCGGATACGGTGGGAAACAGCACAGCCATCAGCAGCCGCAGCGGAACCGACAGCAGTCACCGGAAAAGTCGGCGAGAGAAGCGAACGCGCGGCCGGCAAAGACGGCGACGGCGGCGGGCCTCTATGGCATTGGCTCGGGTCCGGACGACGATCCAGACATGGAAACGTTCGGTGAGCAATCGTTCCGAAGCGATAGTTATATACGAAGTATAAAACGACAATTATGATACATCAATAATTCAAGGTCACCGTCGGACGTCGGTGCTCCGTCGTGTACGGCTCGGCGGCCTCGTACGACTTTTAAACGCTTATAACATTAAATCATAGGAGGCCTTGTAGGTAATCCGCCTGCGGGCAGCCGCGGTTTTAAGGTTCTTCCACTTCTTTTTCCGTACACGTTATCTCTGAACTACATTATAATCTCTCCGGTGCAACGAATCTTTTCCGCGGCCCAATGATCATCCTTCGGCGGGCGGCGCTCGCCCCCCCTCACCACCACTAACCGTCACCTCCGGACGCGGGTTTCGTGATTCGCGACGCACATAAAACAGAATAATGTTCGATTTCAAATTATATCGCGTTTTACATTTTCCAACATCAGGCTGCAAGAGAATATTTTATTTTCCGAGATTAAAACTTCCCGCGTTATTGTGCAACAGTTGTATCAACGTTAAAACAATATGTAATATATTACGTTATTCATGTCCATTAAAATACCGCTTATGCATTTATTGATATAATATATTACTCGCTAAACACACACATACACACGCGCGTGCGCAAAATAATTATAATATTGTATAGGTATTACGGCGTACGTTTGTACAACGGTAATAAAAAAACAAAATACCGGTTGGTTTTACTTTCATTCGTACGCACGCCGGTTGTTACGACGTTTTTTTGTGTCCGCGTGGTGTTTTGCAATGAGAAACTGCCCGCGCTGCGATAAACGGACTTAATTAATGTTGTTTTTTTTTTTTTTTTTATTCACAGCCAAATCGTATTCGGCTCGAATGAAATTGGTCAACACCATCAAGGAATCGTGTTTGCCGAAACTCATTTGCGAGCTGACGGCGTCCACGAACCGAGACTCGCTCACCGAATCCGAAAGATACCTGTTGTCGCTCATTAGGTAGGTATTATTAAACTATTTACACATCATGGGTATTATACCAGCTACACGATACCGCGGTATACCGTCGTGCTTGGCAATAATAATACGCGTGTCGATGTATACGATGCAATCGTGATCCTCGTGGTGAGGTTTTCATTACGTTGCAAACGTCTAAAGGGGAAAATCGTCTGCCGGAGTTACGCGCAATCGGCAAAATAACGATAATAACATCGAATTATTCGTTTGGGCACTTTCGATTTCACTGCAGCTCGAGTCGACAATTGTAATGCACTGTACAGCGACACAATAAAAACGGAGACATCGTGTTATTATAATGTTTCCGTCATTTTTTTCATCCGTCCAACTGCAAACCGCAGTCGGTGATATGCGTATGACGGGTGATAATGTATTATATTATTTATATTACATTTCGTTACGTTTTTCTACAATGCCCATTATTAAGTACCATATTATTGGATAAATTTTTTAAACTTTTAGATTCTGAGTGGAGCGGTGTATTGATTTTACATGTGTGTTGCGCAGCGAATGTACCTACGTATGATATTTCATGTGTGTGGTTTTTTTTTACAAAATGTACTTCGATATTCAACTTTCAGAGTGCTTTTGGGTAGTAAATTAGATCCATTTTTTACTAAAATATACCTAACATTTTGTTGTATAATTGTGAAAAACAAACAATTTAGGAAAAACAGGAATTTTTTAAAAAAATAAATAAATAAGTACGAAAAACGAAATAGGTACCAGTTTATGACAAAATCCGTTTTGTTTTTTTAGTGAAATTAAAAAATAAATAATCTTGGATACTTGAAATTTCCAATGAATGTTTATTTTTATTAAAGCATATTTTAAAATATAATTTTGACTATTTTTGAGTTATTTGTAGACATTTTAAATTTTGAATTATTTTCTTTTAATGACGATAAAGGAAATTATCAGTGAGTCGAAATTCTTAAAAATTTAATTCAAAATCTCACGTAAGACCTCTCTTATATCTATATAAATAATATAAAAATACAATTTTAAACAAATAAAAAGCACAATTTTTTTTTTATGCATTTTAAGTATAAATTGTTTAAATTAAATCGTTAAAATTATAAAAATGTACAAATTGAATAAGTTTTTCTTCGTATAAAATTAATAAAATCTTCAACTTTTATAGCTGAGGTTTGATACAATGTGGCTCCTAAAGTCCTAAGTAGTAGTTTGAAACTAAAATATTTCAAGATATCTATATACAATCACAATTATTTCTCATAAATATTTGAAGTTTTAATGTTAATAAAATTACATAATATTTGAACTGGTAATAACAATGTTAATTATTTTTTTATAGTTCAAAAATATAATTTGTTTAGCTTTAAACTATTACGTGTATTATGAATTTAATTATATGCAATTATATTTTCAATACCTATATATAGACTAATTTTAAAATATTATCTATTTATACTATGAACCTATTCACACTGTTTTATGATAAGATGATAGTAATATTTACTCAAAAAGTCAAAAGTTAATAACAATAATATACTAATAGTATGCTATAAATTTAATATACGATTATAATGAATAATTACCAATAATCTAATAAATTCATTGTTTTCATTTAAACAACATATTACTTATCATAATATTAATAGTAAAATGCATTACTTAAATAGATTGATTACAAAATAATAACATATCATGAAATATACTTAATGATATATAGGCTAACAGAACGTCTTTGAAATTTAGAATCATTTTCCATCTACCTACAGTGATATGTTATCATTGAATTCAAATTTAACACAATCATTGCAGTAGTCCCTTTGACACCTAACGTACAGCAGAGTAATACCCACTTTGCCTAGCTTTAGATTTAACTGTTATGTTTTGGTCTTGTACTTGGGCCAAAACTTTTAACGTTTAATAGGTTTTTAACAAATTGTTCATTAATTCCGTGTAGAAGTTGAAATATTTTCATGAAATTTTGAGTGAATTTTACTAATTCGAGCACAACGTATTATATCATTCACGGATGGTTTGAATTTTTGTTCGCGCGATTTTTTTAACGATACGCGTACATACAACGTACCTACGTATGCTCATTGCTCGTCGTGGACGAAACCGGTAAAAAAAAAAAAAAAACGCGGTCTGGAGATTTCGCCGACGTGAAAAACGGAATCTGTTGAGGGAAATCGTGTACCAGAAATAGTTAGGAAAAAACACTGTCAGACGATCGAAAAAATCATAAATCGCTACGGGTGCTGAGCTGAGAAACTATTTACATGTATATGCGTGTGCGTTATTTACGACTTGGAGAGGGATAAAATGGTGAAAAAAAATTAAGTGATAAATCTCTCATGGCAAAGCACACTACGCTCAGTGTATACGTACGATATATATATATATATATATATATGTGTGTGTTGTATATGTATCAAAATATAATAACGACAACAACAATAATTGTTCGTATTCGTATGAAAATGATTTGTTGCGTATTTTCTCGTATATGTAAATTTGAAGTGCATAATGTGATAATGTTTATAATATACACATTGTATACGGTTGCACCTCTCCCGTCGGCGTTAAAAAGTATTTATTTTTTTATTATGTTAATATTTTTGTGTTCGGAGCGTAACGAGCGCACGCGCGTCAAAACATATCGTAGACGCACGTTATAACACATCGAAAAATAACATACGCGTCAGATGTTTGTCAATCGAATAATCATTACCGCGAGAGACTATGCAATACAACACACTACCGTGCTATATGTACAAAAAACTGCGTCAAACGATATTCGCTGGGCTGCGGGGGTGGTATCTGATGTCATAAAAATACAATAATGTTTTACGTAATGGACAAATCAAAAATGTAATATTATTATATGTTATGGTTATCGAATATCGATACACCGACGCTGTAGACGTTTTCCTATAGCTATTCTGGGCGTATATGATATACATATACGTACAGAGTGAGATACACCCTGTGCGGTGGATCATGTCTATTTTTACAATAACAACTAGTTTTGCTGTTCAAATTGTGATATTTGTAGTTTTTAAAAACGTACCTTCTTGATGGTAGTTGACCTATTTAATATATGCCACCGCTGCAATAGTAGTCGACCTCGCTGCCATTCGGTTCGCGGGCCACTCGACGACTATAGTGACGAAATCGGTGGGTACGGATAGTTTGTTTGCTCCATACGATCGTTCATCTCGCAGCGCATTCGTCTTCAATACATAAATCACAAACTCTCGGTCACCGCAATCGTATTGCTCATATAAGAGTAATATACATATAAATGGTCACGTGAGAAACTAGCTTGTATGATGATCACGACAACAACAATAACAATTATTACGATAGTACATTAGTACCTATACTTATTATGATAGATTATAATAAAATATGATTCTATGATTCTTCTTAAATAATTTACAAAATTTACTCTGGTACCAATTTTTAACGTCGAAAAAATATTGTCACTGTATACGATAGATATTACATTCACGCGTAAATAATTTTTTTGTTTTGTTTTCCGGTGTCGAAGTGATTTACACGCGGTTCCCCTATTTAATCTCCGAGACCTCCGGTTTGGACTAAAAAAAAATGATTTTTTTCTAACTGGGGGTTTGGCGCCACAAAAAAAAAAAGGAAAAAAAATACTAATAATAATTCGTGTCACCGATCGCGCGCACTGATCTCCAGCGGGCCAATAATAATAATACGAGGAAAATTGTCGTTGCCGGCGGGAACCGCGTTTGCCCGCTTCCTCCTTTTGTGAATATTCAAAAGATGATTATTATTATTATTTTTCATCTACGGCGGGGCTGAAGACCCTTATAACATGGCGAACTGAGCTTGAAAAATCCTTTGGGGATTTGATGGCGAAGAAAGAATCGTCGCGTACGTATACAGAGAGATAGAGAAACAGTGAGAGAGAAAGAGGGATGGAGAGAGATTGGAATCGTAATTTTTCGCTCGGCAAAATTAAACGTCACGTTTTCATATATATATTACGTATACATATTATTATTATTATATTTTTCCCTCACCGGGACAAATAAAATCAAGTTTTTAAATTCGCATTTCGTATTATTATTATCTTCCTTTCACGAATGCCGACGATTTCAAGTGATTTGACTTTTTTATCGTTTTTTTTTTTTATATATATTTACTATATTTATTACACAGCGATGTGCGATAAAGATTTTCATTGCCGATAATATTAATACGAAAAACTACAAAATTGTGATTCTAATTTTGTTTGCGCTAGCTTGTATTGTTGTTATTATTTATGTACGGTCTGTGCGATAATAATTGAACCACGACACGTTCGCCTCGATATTCTGGTCGGACTAAGTAAGCGTTGACCATAATTTGAACGTAATATATCCTTAACTTGACCTATATACTTAAGATGCCAACAGCAAAACATCAGCTTTGACGGATCGATGTTCTGTTTTTGTGTCAATTACAACTGTAATAATTTATTCAGTAAGGTTAAATTGTACTGTTTTTTATCAAATTTCACTCAGAATAGAAAAAGATTAACGATCAATTGCACTCGTTCCGATACTAATATAATACTCGACACTTGTACATGACTTAATCACCGAATACCAGCCGATATTAAAAAGAATAATTTGTATTTTTAATAGCTAAAGGTTATTATTTTTATTATTATTATTATTATTATTATACATACTGCTAAAATTTAAATATACTAATATAAAAATGAAATATTTTTTTTAAAAAATTAATAAATAATCTCATTTAAAAAGCATTATACACAATTATTACAATTTAATTACAATTTCTCGTGTTATGTTATTCTTAAGTCAGAAAGTCGTGTAATAACATCATTGATTGATCTGGTCAAGAGCAATAATTAGAATATTACCCACTTTTAACCCGAGTAGAATTCGAACGCTCTCTTTTTATTTGAACTCAAGTGCAATTTAAACATTATGGTTTAGGCAGAGAGTACATTTCAGCAATCCACGTTTATACGTATAACAAAATTGAAAATATTTATAAATCCTGCATTTAATCAACACAAAAAATATGTTTTATTATGTATCAACTTTTATTTAGCATATAAATCTTGATAACTTATTATTATATTATTATGTTCTGGTACAGAGAAACGACCATTTCCACAACGGCCGAAGTTACGTCCAAATATCATTTCGCCGCGCACATGGGACAACTCATCAACGGCATAGACAACACAGGATGTCACAACTTCTATCCCGGATGTCCGTTTCCCGGACTGCAGGTGATGCAAATGATGAAGAAAGTGAAGATCTTGTAAACACAAACTATGTGACGTCCACGCAGCTACTACAGTCTAGTCCTTAAACCGATGCACTGTGATAATAATATCGTTATAAAATCATATAACTTTAACCGCTATATGTTCTGACAAACGTAGGCAGTTGGCGATGATAGCGCACTACCGGCTATGACTTTTGACTTGTTTTAACGTCCGTGCCGCCCGTTGTACGTAAATAAAATAAACGAGTTTTCGCCCCCTCGCGATTTTGGAATACATCACACTTACATCAGTCACGTGTACGTTAGGTTAGGTACAATATCGGTTACGCCAACTGACCGCGCATAGAAAATGACTATATGATATTTTCTTAGCATGATAATATTATTTTACATCAATAACAACTAATTGTTATACATATATTATTAAAACATTAAAATAGTGATCATTATGTGCATCATATAAGTTATTAATAAGTTACCTCAATCAAGCCTCTAAGTATGATAATATTGTAAACTGTAGGCAGTATATCAGTTACCTATAATACACATCTATTTTATGTATTTAACTTAATATTATATTTAAATAAATAAAAAAATTACAAAAAAAAAATGTTCATAAATATGTAACAAAGGTATTATTATTGTATACGTATCAATAGTTAATATAAGTTAAGGATTGTATGTACACTAGTGTTCTGCATGATAATGTAAATAATAATAATGATAATAAAACATGTACAAAGAAAAATTTGTAACAACACATTGTCGTATATTATACAGTATACACGATAACTGATAACAGTGATAACATATTATTATATAATTGAAAGGGTCTATAACGTAAATACAAAACGATCTAACAGTTTACTTATAATATATATATACCTACTTAAATAAATTATTATAACATATGAGACGTGTGCGGATAAAAAGTGTAGCTTTTACCGGTAAAGAAAAATAGGTAAGTAATTTACTACGCATAATAATATTATTATTCAAATGCGCATCTATACCTACATATTTTACAAGCGATACGGATGTCACGTCCATTATCCTAAATATGTTATAAACGAGTCCAAAAATTTACTGACGTGTTTCACGTATTTTTGTTGTAGTATATAATTTTCCTTAAAAATTGTTCATTACGTATATTATATACTTGAATAAATATTTTTTTTTATAAATATTAAATAGGGGTGAACTGTTGGCAAAAAGGGGATGGGTTTAAATTATCTCACCGATGTACCACGTATACCGCTATTGAACTACCTCTATCATCGCATCACTCAGAATTTCTGGGGAACTTAAGCTTGAGTCGTCTTTCGTAGGGCAACCGATTACCAAACACGCTAAAGTCATCGACCGGCCGCCGCTGTGGAAGTCTGATAGTGGACGGTCGACCGCCGTTTGCGGTACCGTCGTCGACGAACTTGATCGCACCTTCAGCATAGTACACGCCCTTGTAGTTGCCGTACTTGTCCACGTCAGCTCGGAGACCACCCGTGCCGGTTCTGTCGGGGAAAATCATTTTGATTCTTTTCGACTGCCGGTTTCCATTTCCCACACCGTTGTGGTCAGACGGGAACGCAAACTGCGAGACCGAATTTGAAGCACCACCGTGATCGATCGCTGATGGAAACTTCATCGGCGTCAGCCTTTGACCGTCCAGTTCTAAATCGTGAACCGAAGGAACGTCAAAGTACTGGTCCGGCGACCCGCTCAGTATTCTAGGATTCTGTTGATGATCGACTCGAGACTTGTACCCATTGCCAAAATGTTGTTGTGATGTCGGGTATTGAGGGGCGTAGTTCTGTTGCTGTCCTAGGTACGGAGGCCGTTGTAAGTACGGAGGTCTTTGCGAGTACAGAGACTGTACTGGGTATGGAGGACGTAGTGGATACGGAGGCTGTTGATGAACGGCGTACTGGGGAGCATACTGTGGTAGTTGTTGGTTGAAGAATCGGAAGAAACCGCCGTTATGGTTGTTCAGATAGTTGATCAGCTGGTCAGGGTCCCTAGGACAGGTGGGATACGCAGTAGTACAATACCTGGGATCTCCCCGGGCATTGTATCCCAATAACGCGGCTCGGCCGAACATGAGTAGCGGGGAATCGTCCACGAAGTTCAACACGGTCAGTAATCTGAAAGTGACGCAACATAAAAAATTATAATATTATTTCATTATTGGCATAATTTATTGTCGTGTACTTACAACAATACATCATGTAGGTAATCATTAATAAACTAAAATTAGTATAATGACTATAAAACATGTAACAGTTTAATATTTTAGCGAGCTCATAAAATAAAAATTTGTTTTAATATAAAATACTATTTTAATCCGGTATACTCTACATTTCAAAAATAAAATAGTAAGTATACATTTTTGTCAAGTTAGTGTAGAATAGGTTATTGATATTTGTGAATAATAATTATTGTTGGAAATTTACTAAGTTGAATCACATTCAATTAGATTTTTTTGTGATAATCCATAATATCCTATTACTGCAGTAGTAACAACTTTAATACAATTTAAAATTAGTTTATTTTTTAAAAATCTACAGTTAGTCCAAATTTTTATTTTATATATTACTCTGTATTTAAGTAACAAAATATTATTAATGTGTACATAACTATTATCCTTATGCATACAAAAACTTAACCTATTTAATTTGCTAGTCAATTTTTACTAATAGCTTAATCATTTTTTTTTTTTTTTTAATATTTTTAAAATAACGTCCATCTGAAAATAAACAAATTATATTAAATGCGCATAAAAAATTGAAACGTCTTTTTTTAAACTTATATTATTAAATTGGAATGTTCTTTAAGATACCCTTTTGAAAACTCCACATTTAAGTTATATTATATTTATAATATTATTTTGTATATCGATTTTTTAAAAGTTATATAAAATATTTAAATTTCTGCGTAGGTAAAATAAAATATACACATTTTAACGAAATATTAATATATTCATCTGCTGCGAAAACACAAACTCAGTGATTGAAAAAACTGAAATGTTGAGCAATTAAATTTCAATGAAATTTTGAAAGTAATTACTATTTTTCTTTGTTTTAATATCTAGTGAAAAATTACTGTTAGTCAATAAAGAGTTTTTGATCTAAAAAGATACCAGAAGTTAACGAGTTTAAAGTCAACGATTTTATCAGTATGCAGGATAATTCTGACTAATGAAAAAAAAAAAAAAAACATTAACATGTTTAAAATCTGTTAATGACTTCCGACCGTCAAAACGTATATAATATTATATAATCAAGTTTACGTGCACTCTAATGTATTCTGTAGCACGTCATATTAAACGAGTTTAAAAACAGTTATAATGTAATTATTAATATAGGAATCAAAAATAAATCGCAACGACGTAACGTGATGTGTCGCGATTTTGCGGTCCCGATTTCGATTACCGGTGGGACGATGTTCGATAGGTATATATCGGTAGACGCGAGGTACGCGTTTGGAAAGTCTGAATAACTGCGAAAGTCGACCACCTGTTTGTGTGTGGGGTGTGATGTATTCAAAATAGTCATAATGTACGCGCATCGGGTAAAAGTCCTCAAGAGAGAGACAATAATACTATTGATGAGGGGAGGAAGGGGGTGGGGTCGTCGATTCGCCATTTAACGCAAAATATGCAAATCCAATCAAGTTCGACAACTATCACCTATAATATAACATAACAATAATGTGCACTATTACTATCGCATAATATCGACATAGTTCGATTTCGCGGGCGGCCCACGCGGTTCTTTAAACCCAAGCAGATTTGTATAATATATTATAATTGTTAACGCGTAGGTATAAACGGCGGCGACGGCCTCGGGAGAGGAAAACATTCGTTACAATATAATAAAATATTACCGATGCTGCTTTTGTTGTTGTTATTATTATAACATCGTATGGGCTTATACACTCACTTTTAGTGTTTACAAAACATTGTAGCGCATAACGCAATAATTATAAAATATATTATTATTTTGTCACGCACAACCGTAGTGCTCGACAATAGAGTGCGTATTATAATATAATACCATGTGTGTGACGTGTGTGTATTACAACAATATTAAGTTCTACAACCTGTAACCGAATATTGTAGCAGTGCAGACGATTATAATCCATATAGCGCTCAGGTTCTTACATAGATATACGCGTATAGACACCAAAAATATAGGTAAAGAATTGGGAATACAGGCTATTCCTTTATGTGTAAAAAAAATGGACACAGTAAACATCGAAATGCCATCGCGAGTCTATAACTTTTTGTCTAATGTAAAAACGAATGAAAATTTTTTCAAGAACATCAAAATTGTATAAATAAAGGAGCTATACTTAGATTCAAAATATTTCTCTACAAGGATACTTAAGCACCATGAATGATCTTAAGAGGACAATACTCTATCTATGACGTAAGACACATCAAATTTTCAAGTTAAGTAAAACCAATTCATTAAAACATTAACTTAAAAGTTTCTTTTTTGAGCAAGGTATGCGTATGTTTAATAGGTATCACAAATAAAAATTTTTCATATTTTGCTTAAAAATTAAAATGTCTAAAAAATTGTACGTCTAAGCAAAGATAATTTTCTAAGCTTCGGGTTCGATAAGATGAATTTTCGTCCTAATATTTAAGTCTGTAAGTCAGTGAATGGCGTATAGTGATTTTTATTGACTCTTAACTCAATAGATAAAAATTAACTCGCTATATGTCTAATTCACAGTTTAACTTAATTGTTACTCGTTAAAGACCCACCGTAACTGATAAAATAAATACAGTGAAACTTCTACTTCAGGATAATAGGGTACTTTTTTTCTTGTTTTTATGAATAATTGTTATTAGTTAAACATTTTTTAAACTATTAACTTTCTACAAGCTAAGCGTTCTGAACAATGGTAAAATTTCAATGACTAAATTGTCCGATATCTAGAGGGTTTCACTGTACTCATATAATGCAACTCACGTATGTTATCGTTAAATTTGTTTTTGCGAAATAACTCGTGAAAAAACTAAAATTTTCATGACGCCTAAAAGTCTCTGTTGTTTACTCACCCCTTATAAGATACTGTATATTATAATATTACTATTATACAGTTTATGATGTGATTAAAACGACTGATGTTACCGAAGTTATAGTAACTACTCGTCCATGTAGCGATTACCGCGTGCATATTACCGGAAACAACTTTCCGGTATGTATTTTAATATTAAGTATACTAATAACACGGTGACGTTTGAACTTTATACATGTACAGTTATCAAAGCAATAACATATCGTTTATCGACCATCATATAGTAATATATCGATGCGGAGACGGGGTTACGATTATCATCACTCGCCTCTGTAGCGGTATGCCCGAGTCGACTCGACACGACTGTAGTTAATATATTTTCCGGAAGTGATCTGCGCATTGAAAGGGTTCCCGAGGGGAATCATATCGCGGAGGCGGCGGAGACGTCGTTAATCTGTCGGCGAAAAAATGTTTATGACGCACACGTCGTTTGGTGGCGGTATACGTTTTTTCGGTTAACCAGCAGTAAATCACGTTGCAATAAATAAGCGTTCAGCGGGCGGGTGGGTTAAAGAAAAAAACAAGTTAATTTCGATTTAAGCCTCGCAAAGCGAAATGTTTACGTTTCGCGTACCCCACGTCTCATCGCCGCCGGAGTGTTTGTGTACCCACAGAAAGGCGTAAAAAGCACGTCTCTGCGCGTCAAAGACACTTTTTCATTTCTTATCTGGACGGGCCACCAATCGGCCGCATAGATTTATTGACAAAAAAAAAAACGAACAAGGCGACAACTGATATACGACTATAACGCTATAATATATTATATTTATTTTAAACGCAATTGTACGCAAACCCATAATATATTATATGATAAAATAATGACACTGCGACAAGCGTAAATGGCTATAAATAATAACTCAAAATAAACTTATATGTATATAATATATAAATAATCGTGTGTTTGTGTACACCACTCACGTGATCAAAGCGTCTTTGGTGAGGAATGGTATTGAAGACTGCTGTTGCTGTTGCTGCTGGTAGTAACCATATTGCTGGTTATAACCAGGCCTGGTGCCGGACGATACTTCGCACAGAAGTCTGGGAACGCATCTCAGGTCATCATGTTGTGATATGGAACTCAGTGCCTGCACGATGGAGTTCTGCTGTAGGTAATCAACCGCCGCCGCGCCTGGACCAGGACGGAGTCCGTAGGGGCGGAATGGCGGGGGGTACGATCCACCATTTTCTGGATACGGTGGGGGGTACGGTCTACCGTTTTCTAAATACGGTGGAGGGTACGGTCTACCATTTTCTGGGTACGGCGGAGGATACGGCCTACCTTCATGGGGTCGCTCCAGAAAGGGTGGTCGGCCGGTTTCGAAGTAATCTGCGGGCGGACGGTTGGGCCGACCAGAAACTGACTGAGATTCGTCACCGAACACTCCCGAATACCTGGCATCGGTGTTCAAAACGGTTCTGATCATTTGCGTCAAGGACCTGCCACGGAAAATGTAAAACAACCATCGTATAAGATAAACACATGCAATAATCATAAATTATCATACTAGTTTTTCCGAGAAAATAGAAACACTCCTAACATTATTATACCATCAAGTCTTAAATTTATTTCCGTTTTATTTTCATGTTCTGTTAAGCAGGAGTTTTAGAATGTACATAATATTCTTAGAATTATTTAGGTATAGTTATAAACATTTAACCGGTCATGCATACTTAAAATGTCTGTTAATATATTTTTTTTTTTTTTACTATTAAAATTGTTATTTTACAATAAGTCTCTCCAGATTTAAAGAAACAAAAAAATCGTATAATCACTTTCAATTTTTATAATATATTTAACTAATGTATACAGCTTTAATTATTATTGACACGATGTCGATATCACGTCGAATATTCGATACCAGCGGCCCATGGTATTAAGAAATATTCTATAAATCGATTACGATGTTATATGAGCATTAAATTTATATCAGGGAAATAAATTTAATTTCATCCACTGAAAATAAATACAGATTGTCACCACAAATAGGTGTCATTAAATAATAACACAAAAAAAAAAATTCATATCTCATTAAGTATAAGATGTTTAGTAAAAGGTTAATTTTTTTCATAATAAATCAAGTCGATTATGATTTTCGATGCGGTATAGGAAAAATTTTTACGATATTGATAGCTTAATTTATTTTTATATTAACAGTCACGTATTGAACTATTTTAAGTACTCACGTCAAAAACTCGTCCACTCCTCTGGTGGTGTTTTGATTGTCCGACGACAAAGCCACCGCAAATCCGCCGCAACACCATAGCAGAACGACACACCTCAAGACCGCCGCCATCGCTGATTGTTGCATGTCTGTAGTTTTTTTTACTTTTTTTTCTTCTGATTTTCGCTGCTTTCGCAAAGTCAAACGATAATAAATTCACAGACACCTGTCGAATCGTCCAGTGGTCGGTCGGCGAAGAGTGCTAAAACTGGTGTGGTCGACCGAGACGTCGGAGGTCGGTCCGGTGCCGCGAAAAAAATTGTAAAAATAAGCACTCGCCTACGCTCCTGCGTCACCCACTCGACCGCCGCCTGCACGCGAACGCGATGCCGGTAAACCCGCGATCGGCACGGTGGCGGTGGCGGATTTCGCGTAGTGAACTTTCACAACAATTAAAGTGACATCATACGGGCCGACGAGAAAACAAACATGTTTAACAGTAATAATAATAATAATAATAGTAGTAATGATAGTTGTACTACGGCAAACGCACGAACGCGCAGAGTGTAACAATTAAAATGTGTTTATTATGATATTATCGTACACCCTCGATTTTTTTAATCACGCGACGCATAACGCGCTACAATTTCGAACAATGACTCCGCGACGATCGCCGGCAAAAAAACCGCGAGCGAAACACCACACACGATAGTGTTTATAACGACGAACGGTAATAATAATTTATTGCAGTCGAGTGGGTATATTAATACTGACTGATTGCTTACAAATCGTATGCGATAGTGTCGAACGACATAGTCAAACGCAACGACACGCGTGCCCACAGGGAAAACGTATACAAGTGTACAATAATATTATACCTATATTATTATGCCTATTCGCATAGCGTTTCCAATCGATTATCGTCGATCGTGTTTTACATTTCTTTTGTTCTCCGAATATTATTATAGTAGCTCCTAACTCCGTCTAGTTATGTTTACGTTTTTTTCCCGGAGAACGAACGGCGTACAGTTATAATTGCACTATGTATATGATATATATATATATATATATATATACGTAATGCTAACGTGTCGGCAACAATAATTAAATTAGAACGCGTGACACGGTTATTTATGGGAACATTTTTTTTTTTTTTTAAGTATTTTTATACAGGACGTTTCAGGTCGTTCCTAGCAAACTTTGAGAATTACGACCTGAATGCGTTGGTGAACGTAATCCGAAATGTCCATAATCCGTTTTTTTTTTACAGGGACTTTGAATATGACGCTTGCGATGTCCGTCTCGTTCAATTCTAAAACTACTTCTGTAATAAAACTACACAACGAGCATTTTTCATGAGCCAATTATTTTTTTTAATAATAGTTTAAAGATTTATCGGAGTCTTATTTTTGTTGCCACGTAGCTCGTGAATTATTATGTTAAATAAAAAAAAAAAAAAATCGTTTACCCAAAGCTTTGTCGTTTATTAAAAAGCCACCCATCGCGATATACCTATCACATTATATTTCTATGAAATGTCAGCGATTGATGTCCGAGGTTCTCAAAGCCAATCGATATAAATATTTAAAATATAATAATAAACGTTGTTTTTGAGAACAACAACCCTCAAGGTGTATTTACTATATTAAAAATTTAAAATAAATAAAATGATAAAACTACACAAATAATCTTAAAAAAATAATAAAATTGCGATATTTTAAATTGCTAAACGAAAAATAAGTATTAATTTGATTTTACTCATCGGCACAAGAGATCATTCATTCTAAGTTTATATAGAAAAACCTAAAGCACTCTGTACATGGGTATCGCACTACACTTGCGTTTAAAATACTAAATGTATATTATAATTTTTATGGTGACCCAAAAATTTGAAAAATGCATTTCGTTTTCTGCTTAAGCACACTTGTCGCGTGCCCGTCATATAGGTCACACCGATGAACAGAAAAACGTGTGTCAGTGTACAATATAACAATTATCGGCGGTGTGCTATGCCATGGTACGTATCTATTCTTACTTATTAATTATTATGTACACACATTTGTTGTACTATTAAAGTTATTGAACGATAATATTATATAATAATATATTCGACGATATTATGTCTGTTTCCGTTATGTATAGTTTGTGACAGGCACGTTATTAATGTAGCGGAGAGAAGGAGTTTTCATTCGTATCTTTTTTTTTTTTTAACATTTTTTTTTTCACCTGTCAAAAATAAAATTAAAGCACTAAGATATATTTTAAATCTTATATTAGGCTTGTATTTATATTTTTACTTTTTAAATATACGAAATTTTGCTGTGTATGTACGATAATTGAACAAAATATAATGATAAAAAGAAAATTATTACATGACGTAATATTATTTGTTTGAACAACGTAATCGTGGCCCACGAGGCACAAACTAAAAGCTTAATAATTATACATTTAAAGGTGTACAAAGTATATTTAGATAGGTATAGGAACCATGATAAACATGATAATATACTAAAACTATATCAACAGTATTATAGCCAGCTGGTATCTATAATAATTTTGAAATTGCCTACAAACATTTGTCATTTAAAAACTAAAATGACGTGCCTGATAGTGTAGTTGTAAGACATTTAAACCGTAAAATATATACTCGATCGTCATCACTCGCGATAGACAATGTTTGCGTAACAAATCAGAATTTCCCACACGCATACAATGTAGGTATATAGTCATACAGGGTGATTCATCAAATATGCTCAATGCCCACTTAATATTTTACTTAAAATTATTTAATGAATGATTTTTTGAGGATTTTGATGTACTTAATCCAATATTAAAACAAGAAGTTTTCGAGTTAGTAACTTAATATATAGATACTAAAGCTAACAATTCTGTGATAGTAGATTAGGATGGTGATTATTTTTTAACAATTATTCAGTAACTAACTTTATAACCTATCAATATTTGATAATTAGTGAACATTTTTTTATTAATAATATAAATATTAGTTTCAATATAACATCTATTTTACATTTTTAAGAACTGTTGTCCTTATATAATATAAATTTTAATAGCTCAAAAAATATTCGTTCAAATTTCGTTTTAAATATTTTGAAAAACTATGTACCTATATTGAATAACTCAAAATAAAAGAGTAAGTCCTCGTTTGAAAATCACTATCATACATTACCATAAGATACGTCTTGTTAAATAGTCGAAGCAATTTCAAGTATTTAAAAATAAAATCTTTATTGAAAATATTTAAAAACTCTGAACAATATGATTTCGATCAATTCCATTATTTATGAAAAAATATCGTGAACGGGCATATTTGATGAACTCTGTATATAAGTGATCATCTCGCGGCGTGTGGGACGTGCACGCGTTAAGGACTCCAAAGGGCGTAAGTACAATATTATTATATTATGCATGTGATGTACTACCCACGGCGGCATCGCGTCTGTGCGACGTCACATGCCGGATTGTTGTCGAAATGTGTTGCGAAAACACACTTGCGGTAACCCAGTTATATGCAGTATTGATGAACACATGTAATTAATGTATGTACGGAACTTCTCTCGATAACCCGATAAATTATGTTTGAGAGTGTAATACGAATATGAAATACCAGACCAAATCAAGTCAAAAGTTCAATAATCCCTCCCAATCGTCTTATAATGTAATTTTCTCCAAAATACAAGGATCAACAGAAACGAAATCTGATGCGAAACACTAACAGTCCGAAACCTTATATTAGTAAGAATCCCTCTGTATAAAATGTTTGTGGCGTACAACTCACAGTGAAATACATGAAAACCGTAATTATCAGATATTGAAATTGAATATTTAAGCAGAGATAAAACATTTTATTTATACCGTTGAAATTCAAAAACAACTGTGGGGTCATAGAATATTTATGTACAAATATTATCATGTTTTACTAAACGCAATGAAGCTTTCGTAATATTTAATTTAATTTCAAGGCATTATTTATTCGTAGTTTAGATCGTAATACTAATAGTAAAATAAAATATAATATAAATGCATGATAATATTTATATACTGAGTAATATTATAAGTTGAAAGTCTCCGCTCAGAATCAAGTTCGGCATGAAATGGTTTAAGAATATTAATTATTCAATTATAACACTTAAATTACAGTAAATAACTTCTCAATGACGAGATTTACTTGGATCTTGCTATACAACAGAGTACATATAGTAGTTACTTTCATCTTTCTTCTTCTCTTATCTACAAATTCCATATAGATGCGTTTAATAAAAAACAAAAAAAAAAACATCAAGTCCTGACGGTTTTCGACGTCATACTGTGAGTGCATAGTATTATATTGTATATAGTTGCCTATTTTTTCGATTATATAACATGAGTATAACGGACGATTATTAAGTATAAAGCCAGCGGGCTTTCGATGATGTCACTTCGCGATACTAAACCTGTACCTATATACCTGTATATATAAACGAAAATTTCGCGATCCGTTAGAAGAACAATGTATGTTGAATGATTAATCCTCTGCAGCATTGGCCGTGTCAAACGATCCAATACGCTGCAAACCGTTGACCTACAATATATAAACACTCTTCGTTTCATCAGATGTAGCCGGGTACGTGGTTTTTATTTTTACAGTCTAAAAATTGTACAGCATCGATTCATTCGTTAACGTCTTCTCGCAATTTTGCGGATTATTGCTCGTATATAATATCAATAAACCATATTTTAAAATACTATGATAGTGTGATGTGTTACGTTATAGTTGTGAGGTTTATATTCCGTATAAAATAACTTTCTTTTTACAGATGAAAATCGTTCTGTTTTTAACCTGCAGATGTGTATATATTATGCCTATACACGATTATAAATCGAAATTAATGAGTAATTTTTGTATTGAGTAATAAACTTAATTTGCGAAAGACGAATAGTCCACAGTAATTGAGGTATTTACAAATAAAATGGGGACAACGATAATTTGAAAATTAAAACAATTATTAATTAAATTTGTTTACAAATACTCGACTAACCGTTGCGTTTGTTTGATGTTTTAAGTAAAATCATTATTGAGGCTCATTATCCTAAATACCTACGCAAGATTTAAGAACTCATAAATTATACACAGAACGTATCTATGTAGTACCTATGTTTAATGCGGTATTGCGGAATCTCGAGACGGCGATAATATCTAGTATACGGCGTATACCTTAATTTTCTGCTAAAAAACGTATATAATCAACCCGCCATTGAGATTATGAGTGTCATTTCGAAATCAGTACACGCAACATTATATATAGGCATCTGGCATGACGCTCGAAATCTAAATAAAGCGTTTATTATAACGGCTCGCGGCTGCTGAATGGAATGCGGCCACGATACTATGTTGCATGTGAAATGTTGTACAAATTTGTTTATTTAAAAATTAATTTTTTCAAATTTTGATTCTTACAATTTTTAAGGACATTTAAAAAATTTTTAAATTATTTTTTTATCTTCATGCCAATTACAAAGTGTTTATGGTGGAATACGAACTTATTTTATTAAAAATGAAAACTAGGTAACCATGTTTGCTGTCAAGTGTAAATTATTAAGCAGATGATTTATTTGGAAATGTTAATTTAGGCATCTATTTCCAAAATTCAAATTAACAATTTCTAAATTATTAAAATTTATAATTTATTAAAGGATTATATTCCTTTACAATAGACTATATCAAATACTAAATAGATGTAATAATATTAGATCAACTATTTATTTTTATTTAAATAAAACATAAAAAATTATAAAATATTGATGAATTAATATTTATTACTATAATTTATTTTAAATCACTATACATTTAATAAATCGTCAGTAAGCAAATGGTCCCTTAAACACGATTTAGTTGCCTATAATTAGTTAATTAAATTTTATTAAACCATTAAATTAATCAATTTTTCATGTAACTCAGTATTAGCACAATAAATTAAAAAAGGAACTTAAAAACTACCAATACGCAATTCAATTTAAATACATCAATATTTTCAAAAAAATTTATCTGATTTACAGGAAATATGGTGATTCTCATTTGGAAAAAGAAATTAGTACAGTCACGTGATGGTCCTTAATAAATGATCCAGAAAAGTATTTCAAAATAAGGCTCTAAAGTATTTTTAAAGACCTAAAAAATATTTATTGGAAAAAATATTGTCGAGCATGCTTGGTGAATCACTTTGTTTTAGTCAGTAGTCGGTCAGAAATTTTTCCACTCACTGAGCGCGAACGACAATACAAAATCCCACCGCAAACCTAAACCCCCCGACAAACAGTATTACTGTTACCCACAGCTACTATGATTTACAATCTAAGTACCATTTTCAAACCGACTTGCGGCGGTCTTACGTGGACGACTCGTAAATTTGTGTTCGTACAGGCCGTCACGTACACCGCAATATCGCAGCAGGCACACCCGGCGGTAGGGACTTATACTTCCGGCGCCGCTCCTGTCCGGTTTTTTTTTCAAGGTTCGCATCGTTACGCAATCCGATTAGTCGCCGCCGCTGCCGCGAGACACCGATGACCACTACCGCGGTACAGGTATATAATACAACTCAGTAATAATAATGGGCACTTTCGTTTTTCGCCCGAAAAGACGCTGCCGCCGCCGCCATCACATTCACTTTCACTCGCCACACGGTCTCGGTCTCCCACGAGTTATTCGTTGTTTTTACACAGGCTTTAGTGCACCGTGAATCTCCGCCATGAAACAGCTCGTGCCGTCCGCCGCCGTCGCCGGTCTACTGGCCGTCCAAACCCTACTCATGCTCGGTGCCCTGGACTTCAACGGGAACACGGTCCAGGCCCAGGACAGTCCGTTTGAATTGCCAGTCCAACTCATCGGTTTTCCCGTCATCATCGTCGCCGTCAAGATGTCCAATTTCGTCAAAAAACTCGCGTACGCCTTGAGTCCGAGTGAGTACTAACCGCCGAAACGCACCTCTTTCCCGGACAGTTAGATCGAAAACCGTTACAATAAATTTTATCGACAATAATCATAGACTACCGTTACGAAATAATATATGATATTATATGATTGTACCGTTCAAATTTTGGCAAAAGTTTTAACGAATTCCCACACGCTTTTTTTCTAATCGCTGCCCGCACACTTTCACATGTAAACGAGGCAGCAGTCCAGACTTGTAGTTTGCGCGCACAGTTATACAACTTATAATACTTGTATGATTATGTTGCGTGTAACGATATTATTACATTAGACCCATGTTATGGGTAGACTACTGTTGTAGTCGCACGTAACGCGGAAAGAAGGGAAAGAAGACTACTTGTACCTCACGCAACACATAACATCGCAGTTTATAATCTGTAAGTCGATAGTGCAGGAAGATTATTAACATGTTATATAGATATATTACTATATTATATAATACGTGAGTCAAACGAAATCGTTGTTGCAATTTGTTTCATCGCAGTGACGTTCGTACGAACTACTTCTTTATAACTTTTGCTAGCTAACGACTTTATATCATTATCGTAGTTTCCGACGTAGTACCGTAACCAGGATTTGTACAAAAGTCTTAATTTATTAAGATCCCTCGTAGTAGTTATAGATATCGGTATTCACAGATACGTGAGTATAACATTTTAAACTTTTGCCAGACGCTCCATGAATGAATAAATTATAATTTAAATACATGTTTACATCGTACATATAATCACAAAACACTAAAAGCATTTTTTACATTTTCTTGAAATTTCTATCAAGACCGCAGTTCTCGTCAGCCCCTCTCCCTACCCTGACTACACCACTTATCAGGCATTCAATGTTTTAGAACTCTAACAACACAGTGTCCATATCACTCTCACTATAATGGCATGTCACAATGTCACATGTTATCGTACTTAATATAATACTCAACCCGAAAGACATTGAGTTAGTTTTGCATCGTTTTCACGTATTGCTTTTGGCCGTTCGATCGATTTCTCGTGTACCGTATAGCTACGACGACGATGACCTAATACAACGCCTGTATTACAAATCGTTAATGGTCATTTATAGATCATTGGTATTGTTGTATACACTACACAGGTATACACTAATCATATACAATTAATGGATACAATTTAAAACAACGGCGATCAAAATATAATTATAGGTATAGATAATAAGTAGGGACATTGCGAGTTGAACATCTTTAATTACAGGTGTGTATTGTATTTTAATGCATTTTAACACCAATACGAGTAAGTCATCGGACGCCGCGATTTTGTCGAATTTTCGCGAATCCCAAGAATGAAATGTATTACGATTGTATTTCGTAAGAATTATTTGTTCCGATAATGACAATAAATCTTATATAATAATATTATGTCTGCTGTACTACAAAAACCATTCGATGGTCCAATCAAATACAATCTGACGGCTATACGACCGAACGGGAAACTAGCGTTAACGAATAATTTTATTGTTTTCCTTATGGAATGCGATAAAATTATTATAATATTATTCTATTAAACAATAATTAAAACTAAGTAAATTATTGTCATCCGTCCATTTGCACCTGATAGATTTTAGGAATATCGGAAAATTGCCAACTACCTACGAGTACCTACTTATATGCGGACAATATTAATTCTCATCCACAATTTATAATGATGAGCATGATGAAATTATGTTAAATTGTTTTTTAATTCCAGTAAGATTAAACGGAACCTGTATTAAATTTTAAAACCTTAAGTATTAAAATCGAATATTTTATGAATTTTAATGTTGAAAGTGGATTTTGATATCTCAATATGTTTTATAATATTATGTATTCCGTCTATTGACTCATATGCGAGAGATCTAGCGTTTATTTAGGCGCCGTCGTGCTGGGTTCACTCATACTGTATGTGTATGTGTGTGTGTGTGTGTGTGTGTGTGTGTGTGTTGGACACGCGCGTAGAAAAAAAGTCACATCACTAATGGACCGAGTTCTTAAATCGCGTGCTTTAACGATAAATATTTTAAATAATGCATTGCGTGTCATCGCTAGGTTACCAAAACGATTTGATATCGTGTAAATGTATTACTAGAACACGGTTATTTTGACGTGACGCACGCTTATGTCCACAGCGTACTCGCGACAATGACATTGCGTACAATAATCGTATACGAGTGTGTGGTAAAAAAATCGTTTAAAAGAAGAAAAAATGTTATTGTGGCTCATTATGACGTTCGTGAAGTTGGCCCACCTAAGTGTTGCAATTTTTTCAAAATATTTGCAAATCACTTGCAAAATAATGGCATAGGTTTTGAAAATTGCAACACTTAGGTGGGCCAACTTCACGAACGTCTCATTATGTGTCAAAATAGGTGTATCGTATTATAATGTATGATACTGCAGCAAATTCCATTCATGTCATCATATAAATTATAAGTGCAGATCACTGAAAATATAACATATCATTTGGTTTTGGTTTTCCTGTTTTATACTACAATAAACGTAAATACTATTAACTCAAAGTGATTAAATTAAGCGGAACTCATTGTAATACTGTTATAACTTATAGTCAACTTGTAACAAAATATACTCATCACAAGGATGTACTGCTAAGACAAAACACCATGTTTTTAATTACAAATTTTATATATAATATGTCATTTAAGAAGGTTCTATGAAGTAAATCAATTTTTTTTTCAAAAAATAATGTAAAAAAATTCAGATGAAATTAATTTTTCTAT